TTTCTACTTTCTATTCAAACTCAACCCATTATTTTTATTTTATTGGTGTCCACAATTAGTAAAATACCTTATTAGATACACATATATATGGATAGATATTTTTAGAGTCATTTCACAAAATTAAAGGCAATCATCATAACACCTGGATTTATCAGAGGCTACTGAATTAACAGCTTTTATTAGCAGAAAATATTTACCAGGCATAGAAAGACTGCATTCTTTCTTTGAACTGATTCACTGAAAACTGAGAGTAGTTTGGTAATTAAAAAGGCAGGAAAGTTCTTCTTACTTTTCCAGTCTATGAATACAAAAAAGAGAAAAAGGCAAAACTGAGTAAGCTGTATAAAATAACCTAACACTTTAGGGGAAAACAATTATACATAGTGGGAACACTGGACTATCATCAAGACCCATTTGGCTGCCTTAAGGCAGGCACTTCTCTTGTCCGTATTTCCTGATCTATAAAATAGGGATACTAGTACCTGCCCTCACTGCAGAAAGGCAAAGGTTCATTAAAGGTAAATCAGAAAGTTCTCTGAACATGTACTGTAAGGCACTATTCTTTCATGAAGCAGGATAAAACAAACGACTTAGGCATTTTGTTTAAAGTGTGCATTTCACTAACATTTTTTTTTAAATGCCTCAAATTCAACATCAACCTTCCCCTGAAATTTACAAGTATCTACACTTAAACTAGGTTTATCTGTATGTAAATACACATATATAATTGGCTAGATGATAGAAACATAGATTAATAGATATAAATTGCTATAGCTATAAAGTACTCTGAAAACTTGCCTTTAGAAAACAAGAAAGGTCGATACTCAGCACACACAGGTGTGGAAATTCACCATCACTGACTGACCACCAGGAGCCCTGGTGGCACAGTCGTTAAGAGCTCCAGCTGCTTATCGAAAGGCTGGCAGTTTGAATCCACCAACCGTTCCCTGGAAACCCTATGGGGCAGTTCTACCGTGTCCTATAGGGTCGCTATGAGTCAGAATCGACTGACAGCAAACGGGGTTTTTTGGTTTGGATTGACCACCGTACTCTTTGCCATGAGGCCTCGGAATCCTGATCAGTATAGCGTTCAGGCAGCCTCAGCCACCTAAGAGGAGCTGGCACACGCACTGACTCTTGTGTGTCACATAGCTGTACTGTATAGCTTGTTTTGAATTAGTATACCTGTTATTAATTAGTATGATTGATTAATATAATTAATGAAAGCCATCTAAATTTTATATAACTAAGTAACTGGCCCATATAATTTTTTTTCCTATACATTCAGTCATGTTCCTATTTCATGAACCCCTCAATCAATGGCTTAGGTTCAACAGTGCAAACAAAATCAAATGTGGAAACAGTTCAAACTGGCTTATTAAAAAGGAGCTACGGTTTTTATGAGAAAAGGGGATGACAGTGGTTCAGAACACTTGAAAGTCGATACCAACATAATATTCTGCCATAATTTTCCAAAAAGTCACCAGGACATTTCATCAGACAAGAAACCAAATTCTTTCTCTTTTAAAAAAAGAGTCTGATCTGTATGTAGTTAAAGTTCTTCAAGAGAATTAAAAAAAAAAAAAAAAATTCTTTTTATTTAAATTGGAAAAAGATATGCCTAAAAACAAAACCCAAAAAACCCTCATGGAAGAGGGAAGCAAAACATTGAAACAAAAAAATTCCCGAAACAGATTTAAACTTTTGCACACCCACCAAAGCCCTCCAAAGCAGGAACGGTAATGAATAAGGCAAACCCGCCCACCCTTCCTCCTCCTTTAGACCAACGTGATGGTTACAAACTGACAAGCCCTTTCTGGCCGTCCACTGCACATCTACAGACCTTTTATTCTTTTGAAATTTCCCCAACTTAAACTGGATGCAAATAAGGCAGGTGTGGTCCTTACAACAGTAATCCTGCTAGTCCCTACTGAGTTTCCATAGCAACATGCACAGCTGGCAATGGGAAAGCAGTTGTACTGGCCTCAGATTGGTTTAAAAACTTTCAATACTCATTGAATGAAATACCAATTA